TGGTGTAATGATTTTTTAGTAAAGTATCCAAATAAGATTTTTGACTCTGAAGATTTTACAACACTTCAAGAAAATGCATTAGTCACTCTTATTAAACGAGATGATTTACAAATAGAAGAAATAAAAATTTGGAATTATATCATTAAATGGGGAATCACACAAAATCCAGATTTATTATCTGTTGAACCAGAAAATTGGACTAGCGAAAAGTTTCTAACTTTAAAAAATATATTAAAGAATTGTTTGCCTCATATCCGTTATTTTCAAATATCATGGGACGATATTGTTGATAATGTTCAACCATATAATCAAATTTTAGATAGGAGCCTTTGGAGTGACATTATGAAAAGAGCTGTAAATCCGAATCGACAAATACCATCAATAGTTCTTCCACCTCGAGTAATTTTAACACCAAAATTGCCAACGCGTACGATGGATCCATTTTCAACAATTATTACTGAAGAACATGCAGCAGAAATTGCAACATGGGTTGATAAGAAAGCTGAAACATATTCAATAGCAAATAATCCATATGAGTTTAAATTACTTCTTCGTGGAACCAGAGATGGTTTTACTAAAGATTCATTTTGAAAAATATGTGATAAGCAAGCAAATACTATTGTGCTAATGAAAGTTAAAAACTCTGATGAAATTCTTGGTGGTTATAATCCTATAGGATGGGATCTATCAATTAAAGAGTGGGTAAATTGCAATGATTGCTTTATTTTTTCATTGAAAAATGGTACTATGAATTCCTTTATTATAAGTCGTGTAAAAAATCCACAAGGTGCAATTTATTGTCATTCTACTCGTGGTCCATGTTTTGGTGATCTTTGGATGTACAATAATTTTAATCAAGATAATGGATGTGATTGTGGTCATTATTATTATGAAAAAGAAATTAAAAATGTTGACGGATGGTTTTCAGTAACAGAATACGAAATAATCCAAATGCAAAGAAAATAAAATAGTGATAAAGTTAAATGTGATTAAAGTTCAGAAATTAACCTGAGTTATGTATAACAGTCTATACGCACATAATTTACGAAGCAAATAAGATTCACAAATAAATTTTATATTCAGAAATATATTTATATTTGATTGCTCAGTAACGTACCATATTGTCGCTCCGGGGCGTTATTTCGAGACACATTGCTTGAAGAGAACTAATTATTAATTTAAACGAATGAAAATCACAATTATTGATTATTAAAAGTCTTCGGCTAAATTAATTATTAGCTCTCTTCAAGTAATGTGTCTTAAAATAACGCCCGGGGAGACGATACGGTAATAAAATTCCATCATATGAGCCCTAACTTATGAGGATCCCTAATTTCTCCCCACAGTTCTAATTGGACAGTTGTAAATGCCGTCTCTGATTGGAAAATATAGATTACGCCATCTTTCGTCTACCAATCAAATTATAAGATCAGGTGTAACAAATTTTCAAAAAAAACCCTGAAGTTTTTGAAGTTTTTCAAAAATCACTGGTAACTTAAAATTTTAGTTACAAAACCATCTTAGTGTTCTAACAAAAAAAATTCTTACAAAATTTTAGTATAGTATGTATTCTATTAGGCCTTATAACAGGAGGAAACGATCCTTTACCGGTGTGCAACATATAAAAAAACTTATTTTACAAATGCCAATGGTAATTTATCATGGTCCAGTGATCAGAATTTAATATTTTGATACCATTCAACTCATCTTGACAAGACAGTCTGAATAGTATCAAAATCATTAAATTTGGATCACTATATCGTGATCTATTGCAAAAAACTATCTGTGATGCAGAAAACTTAAATTTTTGTAAAGTTGTGTTTCAAATTGCTTTTTGAAAATATCTCTCGATTAGTAAATGGAATTCGGTGGTTTTGAGACCATTTGAATCGTCTTATCAAGAAGAATCGAATGGTACCAAAATTATTAAATTTTATCACTGGACCACAATATATTGTAAAAACAAAAATTAAAAAAAAAATTATTTTGAGATGTTAACCCGGTAATCATTTTGAGGCATTCAAATATTTCGATAAGACACTTATTCAGTAAAATACCATTTTAAGAATCAATTATATTGTAATAATTTTGTTATTTTAAGAATTTTAGGTTATTTGAAACAAAATAATCATTCGATCAAAAATCCATTATTTTGTGAACATACAAAGACTTATTTCTTTTTTTAATGTCATCGAAAAAAATGAATTTTAATGCGTATGCGTATTATGATGAACGCACAAAGAATTCTAATTACAGAATAAAAAACTTTTCCATAGAAGAAAAGACCTTTGTAGTAATATGTAGAGAATTTTGACATCGAAGATTTATGCTTGCAAAAATAATTTATTAGCGCAATAAAGTGTTACATGATAAAGATTTAGTTCGTTTGGCTCCTAAATTATTTATTTTGTAATTAAAATCATAATGTTAAAAATTTTATTAATTTGTTAAAATCCAGAAAAATATTTCAAAAAGGTGATCAAAAGCTGTATTTTTGCATTGAAACACTTCAAATATAAAATTTAGTTTTGAGTATACAGTAACTTTTAATTTAGAGGCTCTATACAGAAATATGAAACCTGTAAATCTTTAAGATCTTTAGGGTCGTTCTGATTAAGATCTTTAGGGTCATTCTGATTAAATACTAGATATTTAGGAGTAGGAGAAAGGATTATAAATCCTGCAGTGCAATTTTTTGGACAAGCATTTTGTAAAATGTTGACAAATTTCAGCTTATCATGAGTCCATAAGAGTGTATTTGGTGATTCTGATATGTCATAACTTATATAAGATTTTTTAATGAAAAACTGGGTTTTTTGTTTAATTTTAAATCATTTGAACAACTTTCCGAACGAATAATACTACAAGAAATTTAAATATTTAGTAATAATAAAAATAATTTATCAAAGACATCTGACAAATACAAACCTGCAATGAATAATAAGGTCGGACAATTCTTGATGATTATTTTGTTTAAAACATCTTTTTGATTCGAGGTCATAAATAAAAGAACATGCTTTTAATTGTTGGGATTCGCAATAAAAATGAACACCTGTCACTAACTTTGAATTCATTGGAACCACTTCAGATTGTTGAGGCATTCGTTGTGCACATGTCGCTAAAAGACTATGGCCTTGAATCTGACCATAATTACCGATCGAATTTTCTCGACATTTAACTTCACAACTATGAGTAATATGAAAATCATGGCATTTATATTGGAAACTTTTTGGATGACCAATAATAATCCAACCTATTTGCAGATTAAAGCTTTGCGTTCCTTTGCTTTCACTGAGCCGGTGGAGAACTAAAGTCGCTGAAGAATAATCTGATGTATAGATAACACGAGTAGAAATCTCATCGCCTTGATTTTCCGTGCTCATTACAGTTATAAAAATTTTGTATTCTTTTAGATTCGGCTTTAAATCAGGTGGTATTTCTAATTCATGAGTGTATGAATAATTATGTGGAAAGATTTTAAATTTAACAGAAAATTTTGCGCTATATAGAATTTTTTCATTTCTAATTTTTTTAATAACTTTTTGACGAAGCTCAGGGTCTAATAAGTCGAATATAGGAATTAAGTCATCATATTCAATTGCGCATAAACTTTCATAGTCATTTAAAGAATTCAGCCAGAGGTCATATTGACGAAATTTACTTTTATCTCCTCCATAGACACGAGTACAAGTTGTAGCACTTGAAACTGAGGAATATAAGTTTATCCCTTGATTTTTACTATATTCTAAATTTATGTCTCCAACAATTCCAGAGCCAATTTTTCCACTAGACGACCAATTTTTTAATTTATCCAGCATTAAACTTGAAGCATTATAATAAGATATCTTTTGTATCTTCCCACCAATTTTTACTTTTCGAGCTATAAATTCACCGTATTTTTCACATAAATTCTTAAACGCTTCAGGATCATTACTGTTTAAAGCATCTTCTACGTCTTCTTGGAATTTTTTGGTTGGTTTGACATTGCCTATTTTAAATGAGTATTTTTGTAACAACATTATCTCATGCGTAGAAAAAAAGTTCGTGTTATTAGTGTTTGTGGATGAGCGTTCATGTGCTACGCCTAATCCGATAGATAAGTGCAGAAAATTAATAGAAGCTTTTACATTTGCCATCAAATTTTTACGTAAAAAATCTTCGAATGAATTTTCGTAGGTTTCCTTGCTTACTTTCTCAAAGTGTAGTTCATCCATGATATTTTCAGACAAAAATTCCAATGCTATCTCATTAGCTATTTTAGGTCCTTCATCAGTCATATTAATTCCATATTCTAATTTACACTTTTTTAAGATTACATTCTTTTTGTTGACATTAGGTAATTTTTTAATTTGTAGAATATTATTTTTAAATAAAACATCTTTTAATAATTTATTGCTTTCAGAAGCTCGTAAGATGATTGCTGATGGGCTACAAAAGTACATATTATCGGAAATACAAATTAGATCACCTTCATTTGAAAGCTGCCTTCGCACATCATCTAATGTGCTATCAAGAGTAAATCTTTCACCAAGCTTATCATAAGCAACAGGAGAGTCATCATTAATCTTAATACTGATTTCTTTAGTAGATTAAGTAGGGTTTTTTTCTAAAAGTTTAGAAATTAACTCAAATACATTCATGGCAAAATTAATAGCAATATGAATATCCTCACGTACGTGCGTACGTATGTACATATAATTTTTTTTGTTATACATGTCTGGTGAAACCACAAGTGAACACTATTTAATCAAGAAGTTATACAGCAACACAAAATCAGTATTACGTACGTACGTACGATACGTACCGGCACGTACGGTGTAAGAAATCTAAAAACCACAATCATACCTTCTATAAATACAACAATGAAGTATACTTTATTGCGCTACTTGACACCACTTGGCGTAATCTGTAATGTGACCAAGAATTAAGTTACACACTAAATGATATTACCGACCTCAATTAAGCTAGGGAATACAGTATCTAATTTGATTTATATTTTGTCGCTATATGGTGTAATTGTGGTTTTTAGATTTCTTGTACCGTATCTATTTGTTATACGTTACAAAGATCGAGAATCAAGCATATACACGCCAATCTCAATCTTATATTTGACATAATTCTACTACAAGCACTAACTATGCAGCAAGAAGAAAAATCTATTGTTGAATTATTAAAATTAAACTATAATCTTTTTTACGAAAATAGACGGTTTATCCCAACTAATCCAATATTCGATGGTGGAAAGCTGAAGTTGGAAAAATACTCTGGAGATTTATTAGTCTATAAGCCAATTAAAAATGACGTAAATTTTTATGAAGACTGGGACATTTTCGAAAAAAAATTTTTGGCATTAATTACACAGTCTTCCAAACCTATAATGTCTCAACAGAAAACATTTAATCTATCGAAAAACGATATAGGACTATTTATTCCAGTTTTAACGATTGAATATCACGGCGAGCCCAATGATTCTTTCCAATCTATTATAAATAAAACATCGCAATCAAACGAATCAGATTTTAGATGGATTGGTGAATTTTTTGCGAAAAAAGTTTTAGTTGGTGGAGCCTTAATAATAAAAAGTGCTTCTCAATATTCATATGTATCTTTGAAACAATTAAAGTCATTAATTATTAAGTCAATCAATAAATTTCGATATGGTAACAAAAATTCCCTCCAAAAGACGGTGACAGATTCGGAGCAATTGTCTATTTCTATTGAAGACTTTAACGGAAATTTATTAAAAAATACAGAAATGTTGGTAAGAAAAAATTTTACAATTTATTTATTTTATTCGCTCCAAAAGTATTTATTATTAAGGTATTTGTTATTTAGGACATATATTATTCTCACTCGGATCTCTAATTCTATTTATTGTAATTAGGAAACACATATGGGAGTGTGCTCTGCCTCCATTTGTGCCGATTTTATTTTATTTATTATACATTATTAGCGCTACCTGTATAACATTCTTATGTGTTGGCTTCAACTATCTAGTTGTATAAGCCGAAGGTCAGCCGAGAATCGAGGGTTGGGTACTACTCTAAGGTTAATAAAATATATTTCACTACTAGGCAATAAGAGGAAGATGAATACTGGGTACATGCAAGATATACCGCAGTTGTGTGTATAAATATATATGCACCTTTCTAAGTCAACTAAATGTTAAAATGCTTAGTCAACTCTATATTAAATTATGGCACTCTACGATTTAGAGGTTAGGAGAAAGTCATCAAGCATCTTACTGAGTCAATGAGCAAGTCCTTACGCATCTGAGTGCATGGCCTATGCCTGTCACATCTCAATAAAGTGTTCACCTTCACACCCTCCTTTTTTTTGGGGGGGGAGCGAGGTGGGCGGGAAAACAACTAAAAGCCAGATAGAAATCGGGCAACGAAGAAACAAAACACTAACCCTCTCAACAACCACTGGGTTACCTATATACCTAATTATATGTTACACTAAACTCACATGAATACAAAGGTCAGGTGATCCTCATGATAATTACCTTAACGTGACTTTCGTCATGTAAGGTCATTATTCTCACTCGGATCTCTAATTCTATTTATTGTAATTAGGAAACACATATGGGAGCAATACTGAGAATCGTTTAATTTTGTTTGACAATTAATTTTCTTCATTTTTTTTTTTTTTTTTTTTAAAAAAACTTATTTGTGTCGAAGTACCCTGTGTTGTTGTCAAAACTGATCATAAGTAAAATGCTACAGACTGAGATAGCCACCCACCAATGCTCATAATTTGTGGGAGTGTTAGTCCTGCCCTTATGGCCTCTGTTGCTCCACCAATTCGCAGACTATGCCTAGAAAATCTATCATTTAAACCTGCATTATATGCAACCTTTTTAACAACTGTACTTATGCTATTTGTTGTCATCCACTTTTCATCCCTTGTTACAAATAATGTTTGGTTATTATCTAATTTCCTCAATTGAAGATATTTATAAAATAAGCGAACTGGGTAGTAGGAAGAGTTTGTAAGATCAATGGGAATGAATTTTCCACATGCCAATTGGTCTGTTTTTGATCTGCATATCTGAACACAACATATTCCATTTATGAATCTTATATCTTTAATTTGCATATTGCATAGTTCACTTAGTCATTGCATTGTGCGCAGTCCTAAAGCTACTAGGGCACAGTCATATTTCCATAATACTTCACTAGTTTTGTAGAAAGGATTAGTTACATAGTTCCTTAAAGCCTGTACTGGCAAAGGATCATGAGGCCAAGCTGGTTCATGATCCACTGTTGTCTGTTTCATTAATTTTTGTACAAGACACTGAACATCATAATTTGAAGTAGGATCTGGAATTTCTTGTTTTTGATGATAGTGTATGATTGCAGTTAGGTACATCCTTGGTTTCATAGACCGAGATAATATGTTTGTTCAAATTAAAAATATTAAAATTGAACTTGGTAAAGCTGGGCAAGAAACTAAACTATGAATCTTGCAAAAGGTCACAAATTCCTTCCACAATACATAAAGCCATTTTTCGTAAGAGGTCTTTAATTCTAAAGTTTCATATACTTTAACCAACAGATCAATTAAAAAAAGAAGAGTTATTGTTTGGAATCTCCAAAGAGGATTTCTCTATGGTTCTGAAAAATGGTTCTTTCCTGGGCATGGTAAGAAACTTTGAACTGGTGAAGAAAGATCTATTGTTTCTCTTTTTTGTTGTAATAAAAGTGGCCACCAGGGGGCTGTTGATCAGACTGGAATAATTATAGTTGTCCTGGTCTTGTATTCTATTGCTTGTTTGAATACTCTATATATTAAGTTTAATGAGGAACAAACATAATTGTTTTCTTGACCCCAACTTTGGGTAAAACAGTCTATTGCTTCTGACTCTAGGCAAAAAAAATGACTGTTGAACTGACTTTCTTTTTATGTTTGATAACTTGTCATTCTGTTGATGGTAAAGAATCCCCATATTTTGTTTATTATCTCGAATACAGTTGGAACCAGCATCCAATCTGATTTGTCTACAAATCTTGTTAGTTTGTCAGCTAAATTTAGATGAGATGAAATCTATTGAAATTCATGAATATTGATGCTGTGTTGACTGCAAAGGTCCCACATCTCATGCATTATATTCTTTTGCCATAGTCTTTTGCCCCCCAGCTTCTATTGTTTTTCACGCAACTCAATTGTCTATAAACATTGTTATCCACTGATCTATTAGCATATGTACAAAGGCTTCGAGCCCCAGTAATGTTGACTTTGATTCGAGGTATGCTATATCTGTATGTTTGTGGATGTTGATCCAATTTCCAAATGCATGCTTTGTCCCCAAAGTGGCTGCCCAGCTTATTGTAGATGCATCGACAAACAAGGATGCACTCAGGAAGGTTTCCATACTTGCCTTCCATTCTTTTCTTTCAAGAATTTTATCACCCAGTTTATATCATTTATTGCTTGAGGTGTTAATCAAATAGGTTTGTCCCAATCTTGAATTCTCTGATGTTCTGCATCTATGATTGAATAAAGTTCTAAACATCTCACTTTTGCATAAACAAAAACTTGGTTTAGACTTATTAACTTTCCCATTACTGAAGACAATTAACAGGCTGTTACAGGTGTTTTTCCCAAAAGACATGTAACTGTATAATATTTCGTTTATCTTTGTTTCTGGGGCCATCACATTTTCTGTTACTGTATTTATAATCATTTTATAAAACTTTGCTTCTTATGCTAACTCTAGGCTTCCCTTGTCTGCAAGAATAAATTCACAATTCTTTAAATCTGGGAATATGACTGAGTTTCTGATTTCTAATAAAGTTGTTTGATTTGGATGTGCAATCCATATGTCATCTACATGGTTGCCACAAAAAATATCATTTGTTCACCAATGGCCTATGAGTGCTCTTATAATTTTTGAAAACACCTATACTGAGTGGCTTAACCCAAAAGGAAGAACCCGATAATGATACCAGTTTTTCCCTATTCAAAAGCTGAGCAATTGCTGTGCTTGTTTGCTTATCAGTATATGGTAATAACTGTCCTTTAGGTCTAGAACAATTATCCACCAGTTTCGACCAATCATGCATAAGAAGGTTTTGAACCCTTCAAACTTGAAACTTTTTTCTGGTAATGTCACATTCAGGTATCTGAGATCTATAATTAAACACTATTTTCTTGATCCCTGTTTGGGTATTAAGAAAACTGGGCTTACTTCTAATAAATGTGCTGTTCATTTTTCTCCTGTTGACACTAGCACAATTGCTTCCTCCTCCATAAGTCACTTTAATTCTACTTCCAACCAAGTTTGCTGACTTGCTGTAAATCAGTACTGAACAGGGTCTAGTTGTAAAGACAGTGAGAGAAGGCTTCTTGGAAATAGTGGAATACCTTCTTTTAACCATTCTAAAATTAAATATAGGACCTGGATCTTTTTCTTCCAATACTCTATATGATTCTTTAAGTGTAGGCAACCTACTACTGAAACCTTTGGGGGGGCCCGAGTGTAGTCACTTCTGTTTTTCTGCCTCTTGTGACTTGTCAAACTTTCTTTTATATGCTGAATATCCCTGTGATTTATAGCTGAACTGGGAATTATGATATTGTCCAGAAGTTCTGTTTGGGTCTGAGAGGCAGGAGTTTGTGAAGTGATCATATCCGTCACAGATATAACATTTGATTGAGGAAGATGATCTATTCTGCTGTAAAGTTTTTGGCCGAAAAAACCCTTCTGTGTCACGATTCTCATACAAGGAACTAAATTGGTATTGATCAGCTGATTGGTTTTTCCATTGTGCATTTCCTTGAATTTTTGGAGTGGTTGCAATTTTTTGACGCTTTGTTCGTTTAGCATCCACCAATGTTTTCACTCTTTCAATTAGACTCAACCCATCCCTGCTCCTCAACCAATCATCTTGGGTATTTGGTAACGCAGAGGCAATATCCCAACCATAGCCTT